GTCTCTCTCCCTCTTCCTCCGTCTCTCCCTCTCTGTCTACAGATTTTCTACCCTCTTCTGTCTTCCATCTTTGAGACAGGCTCTAGAATTCTCCCAGATTCGAATCCAAGTGTCGTCAACAATTTTTGTGTCAGCCGAGCAAATTACTTACCTTCTCTGAGCCTCTCACCACCCTCAGGGCTGTGCTTGATCTCCCACGTTCCTTGTCACCAATTTATAGGGAGAATTGTCCCCACCTTTCTTTCCTCAATGTCTCTCCAACTAGATGGTGAACTCTTGGGGACCGGGAGCTATGTTGTTTACCATCTTTTCTCCCTCCCTCACCTGTGCCTCTGCCCCAGGCTCTTCTCCCAGGAGCTGCACAGGCAGAATCTTGGTGGCCCCTTTGCCTTCTTCGCCAGCTCCCCTACCCCACATCCAGATTATCACCAAGTCCTGTGGATTTCTCCCTCAGCTTTCTCCACCCTATATGCCTCTCTCTGACCCCACAGCCTGCCACCTCTCGGATTTTTTAGTGTCTCCAAAGTGCCAGGTACTGAGCTGATCTCTGACCATGGTCCCCTCTCAAGAGGATCACTACGGCAGTGTCTTTACTGATCTATCTCCAGGCTTACTGCTTCTCCTGCCCCCTCTCAGTACTTACTGTAATAGCTAAGGGATGGGGCAGCAAAGTGCATGCCTGCAAATTCTGTTGCTAAGGAAACCACTTCCTTGGTTACCGGCCTGGGTAGCATTTGTCTCACTGTGTCTGGATCCTGCTGAGTCGCTCCCACTCTCCAGGAAGATGAGGAGGAGGATTCAAGGGAGGACAATAGGAGTGGGGAGGAAGAGAAGAAGGGAGGGAACAAAAGGCAGGCAGAGAGGTGGAGAGCTCTGAGATCAGGAGGTAGATATAGAGAGATGCTTGCATAAACAAAAGCAGAAATCTGAAAGAGATAATGATGAAATGAGTGAAAGAGAGAGAGAGGGAGATAAGGAGAGAGAGAAAGGACAAGAAAGAAAAGGGGTTTATGAGCAGCTGGAGGAAATAAGAGAGACAGCAAAAAGGGAAATTGAGAGCAGGGGGGAGTGTAAAGAAACACAATGAGAAAGGGGGAAGGGATGGGGAAAGAACAAACCAATGCAAGAAAGAAGGGGGGAGGGAAGGCTAGGCTGGGCCTCGGGAAGGATACGGGTCCCTGAAGGACCTGCTCTGCAGCATCCCCATCCTTCTCCTCCTCCCACTGGCAATACTTTGGCAGCAGCCTCCAGCATCACTGGAGAAATAAGGAGGAAATCCCAGCCCTGCCTGTTCTCCTCAGGTCCTGGAGCCACATGCACTGGAGGCAACAGAAGGATGAGAGCCCAGGTGTCCTGGCTTCCATGCCAGGCATGTCCCTTGCACTAGGATCCAAAGCATTCCCTCCTCCTCAGGTGCAAGGGCGCTGTCACTGTGCGTGCAGATGGGACTTTTGCGAGAGGGCAGCAGCTGGCCCTAGTGCTGCTATTAATCTCCGTGTGATTCAGGCCAGTTAGCACTAGTCTCTGTGAATCAGTGCTCCTGTTGACCAATGGGGTTAACAACTTCCTAGGGTTGGTCAGGAGCCCCCCAAGCCCTTTTCCCTTTATCCCACCATTGTCTCCTCAGAAACTTTCCGATCACTTGCAAGTATCTGCTTGGTACTTGGTAAAATGCAGACTCTGCAGGAATGGGGAGTTTTGTCTGTTTTGTTCCTTTTGAAATCTTTAGAACCTAGAGCAGTGCCTGGCACACAGTAGATGCTCGGTAAAGATTGTTGAAGAAATGAACAAACAAATGAATGAATGCTACCTTGAATGAACAAATGCTACCTTGTTTCTTCTAGGTTTGAAACATAAAGATTTGATTCAAGAAGGTTGTCGAAGTATGATTAAAAAGGCAGAGATTGGCCAAAGAAGAAGCTGCTAAACTGTCCATCTCAGCTCCACCTCTGGTCTAAAGGGCTGTGAGCTCTTTAGGAGGGTAAGGCACAGAATCTGTGAGAGCCAAGGAGGAGAGTTGAGGAGAGCTTGGAAGTAGATGCTCCATGGCTTACATCACTTCTGGTCAGGGAGGGTTTGATTAGAAAGATGCTATTTAGAGGAGTGAGAGGAAATTGGCATACTGCTTCAGGGCTCAGCCTAGGACCAGAATCAAGGCTTGATCGGAGGCCAGGTGAGGGCTCAGACTGAGGTCAAGGTCAGGGCTCAGAGTGACCAAGGTCAGGATTCACTCAGGGTTAGGACTTGGCCTTAGTCTGTGACCGGAATCAGAGCTCAGTCTCTGGCAGAGATTTGGGCTCAGCCAGGAGACACTATCAGCATTTGTTCTGAGCAGGTTAAAGCTTGGCCTAGGACCCAGGCTGGAGTGCAATGACTGGGTCAAGACTCGATATGGAGAGGGACTCTCCAGATCTGGGACTCTGGCCAGGATTCTGGTTCATTGTGGTGATGACATCGGAGATCAGTGTGAGGCCATGATCATGGATCAGCGTATGTCCAGTATATGCTCAGTCTGTGATCAAGATTGGAGCTAGTCGTGACTCAGGATCAAGACTCTAAGATTGAGGCTCCATTTGTGACCAGGTCAGGCTTGGCTTGACATTGGGGTCAGTGTTTAGCCTGGGGGTCACAGAAGGATTTCTGGAGCCAACACAAGCCCCCAGAGGAGAAAGACCTTGCCCTTAATCTTGGAACAACCTCACACTCTCCTCTTTCTGAGATATTTCTTTCCTTTCCAAAAAAATTAGGAGAATGGCCTCTCCCATCTCTCGGTCCTCTTGAGCTCTGCCCTTGGGTAGGGAGAAGCCTCTCCCTCCCCTCCATCTGTCCCAGCTCTGTTTGCCATCCCTCTCCCCCTTACTGTTCATGTGGAAGTACGTAAACCCTTACCCCTCCCTTGGGCTGAGAACAGTTCCTGAGGCGCCAGCCCTTTTCCACAGAAGCCCTCTGTTGTGTGAGGAGAGAGGACATAGGGCCCTCCTTCAAGAGTGTTTGAGGTTAGAAGCGGAGACTCACTCCACCCACCAGGGCACAGGGGGGCCTTCTCTTTCCCCTCGCACTCACTGACTTCCTTCCTGCACACGAGTGCACAGCACCGCACACTCCGGGATTCTCTCTCACACACACTCACAAATACACAAAAGGAACACCTTCCCTAGCTAACCTCTTCCACACCCACGCACCAACCCAAGCAGGGACACTTACACCTCACTCTAGTAATCCCTCTCTTCCCACACCCCTTCCTCACACACACAACTGCCAAAGACATAAGGTATGTGCAGAAGCCATCCCTCCACAATAGACAGGCTCCTTCTCACGCATGGGGTTCCTACACAATGGCCACTTCCTCTTCCATGTGTACACAATTCTGCACATGGGAACTCACACGGACACACTGTGATGTGACGATCATCACACCAGCATGGGGGATACAGTCTCATGACACAGAGGCAGCTGAACATAGAGGCCATTTTACACACCGAGGCACACAGTCCTTCACGGGCAGTTACAGAGTTACGCAGACACAAAAGCAATTGTGAACCCCAGAACATTCTCTATCTCTGACACACACACACACACACACACACCACAGCCAGAAAAACATCCCATATATGAACTCGCCTCACACAATACTCTACCACTTGGCAGAATTATCAACAAAACTCACTTTTAATGAGGGTGTTGACCTGAGGAATCTTCAGACAGGGGCTTGTGGCCTGAGGTGACCACCAGCAAAGAACTGGCCCAGGTCTTGGACCAAGAGGCTCCCAGAGAGAGCTGGCCTCTGAGTGGGAGGGGAGGCCACGCCCTCTGCTGCTTCTGGAGAGAAGACTAGACCAGGGGAAAGAAATACGTTACAAAATACATTCAGAGCCCCCTGGCTAGGCCCTGGGATGGCCCAAATCCTACGGATGAGGGGTTCAGGGGGAGAACAGAAGGCCCGATTCCCGGGCCCCTCTCTTTGCATGGCCAGGTTCCAAGAGGTGGAACATTATTAGTCATATTCCTCTTAAAAAAATATATCTCTTTACACTCACCTTCTCTATAGTCTCTTGGCTATTTGGGAATGAGAATTTACCTGCACCCCAAGGCTTCAGAAAGGCTGCTTGGGGTGGTGGGGAGGCTGCTCCAGACAGAAGAGTAAAGAGCTGTGAGCTATGGCTTTTGCGTCTACATGGTGGGGAATGGTATAGGAATGCAGGCGAGGGCTGGGGGCGAAGCCACTGGTCTCCAAGGTGGGGAAACTGATGGGATCCTGGATAGATGCTTTCTAAGATCAATGATCAGGGATTCAGGTCCTCAGGAATCCTTTGGTTTGATGCCTCAGCATCAAGGGAACAGCATTTGTATGGAAATAAAGAGCCGTCCCATTCATTTCATTCCTTAAAGGATCCCCAAGGAAAGCTGGCTCCATTGGATTGTGATCAAGGGGTGGTTGATGGTCAGGGGTCTCTTCTGGGTTTGGTTCCCCCTGATTTGGAGCACCCTTGCTCTCTCACCTGGATAGCAAAAGACCCATTGGAAGGGGTCAGAAGGGCAGTGTAAGATCAATGTGCCAGACCCCACAATGGAGAGATGTGTTACTGGGGCTCTCATTTTTCCTCAGATTCTGCATGTGGCCTATGGCCATCCTGGTGGGATAACTGTTGGTGCCTGAAGAACCCTGGAAATGGGATCGAGGATCCCAAGGACACCTCCTAGATACAGCAAGGGAAGAAAAGGGCAGAATTCCAGCCTTAGAAGTGGGCAGGCAGTCAGATTGTTTCTCAGGAGCAGTGTGACCTGGGGGTGGGCCCATGATGCCAGTGACCCCACATGGTAGTGCCAATTAATCTACTGTGAGCACCAGTGCTTTCCCACCCCATACAGCGTGTCAGAAACCTAAGACTACAGAGAAACTTCCCAGAAATCTTTCTTCAAACAGAAGTGGCCTGGACGAACCTTGGTGCCAAGGCTTTCGGGGCGGAGGAGAGAAGGGGAGGCCATAAAAACAGCCCAGGAGAGAAGAGCATCGGGGGCTACTTTTTTACAACAGTCCCTTTAGCTCTTACATCAGGGTCCTCAACACCTGTGGTGAGGCACCCATGTCTCCAGGACACCCAGGAGCCCTCCCTCCCACAAGGGGAAGGGAACCCAGAGTGGCGGGGGTAGGGATGTGGGAGGCAGAAGAGGGCCCATGTGGCTGGAACCCCCCAAATCAGTTGCCTCTCCATCTCCAAAGGGGACTGAGAGCAGGTGGGGGGTGCCCGGGCAATCTCTTCCCTTGAGCCTCCTTTGTCATGCAGGAAACTCCTTGCAGGCCAACAGCAGCCAAATGGATTGTCCCCATACCAAAGAGAGGCCAGATGGGTTGGCGTCCCCAGGGTCTCGAGTCCCTTGCTTGGTCAGGACTCCCAGCCCGGTCCCCCCACCCCCCAACACGTCATCTGGGGTAGTAGTCGTCGGGAACGCCCGTGAGGTTCCTCCCTTTGAGGGCCGCGTCCACCATCTTGATGTAGGCGGAGATGGTCTTCTGCATGTCGGCGGTGTACGGGTCATACTCCAGCTTCCGGAGCCCCGAGCGCTTGAAGTTGCCGTCCTTCTGGCTCTCCACACAGAGCAGCCGGTCCTCCCTGACTGCCACACCCAGCAGGCCGACCATCCGGCCCAGCTGCACGAACAGGTCCTGCTTCAGGTCCTCAAAGTGCACCACCAGCACCTTCTTGCCGAACTTGAGCCAGTCCAGCGTGTGCGTGGCCCACCACGGGGCATAGTTCCTCACAAACTCTGGCCACTCTGTGGAGAGAGGAGGGGGCAGCTAAGTCGGAGGGGCTCAAAGCGTGCAGGTCAGGTGGCGCTGGCAGGGGCTGCAGTTATTCACAGCGCTGAAAACGCCATTACTCCTTGCAGATCTCCAGACTCATCCAGTTCCTCCCACCTCGGTGCTGCTGCTTCTGCCTGGAACATCCTTAGCCCTTCCTTCTCTTTGAGGATAATAATAACATCTGTTGCGTGCTCACTACATGCCAGGCACAGACCCATATAAACGTATATTACTAACTTTTGATATTTCAATATATATTTATATTAATATACAGCATAATAAATGTATTAACGTAGCTATTCATTCATTCATTCTTCTCAGCGACCCTATGAGGCAGGTTTCATCATTTTCTTCATGTAACAGAAAAGGAAACTGAGGCACAGAGAGGTTAGGTAACTTGCTCAAGGTCACACAGCTACTAACTGGAAGATCTAGGATTTGAATCCAGTCTGGCTTCAAAGTTTGGGGTTTTCACTATCAAGTTATCCTGTGTAGTAATACTTGTCCTGTGTAGTAATAGTATCTGCTTAGAGTATAATAATAAGACCATTGTACAGAGTAAGTAGAAAAAGCATATAAAGTTTTTGGTATGGCGCCCATATCCAGTAGGTGCTCAGTATACACTGGCTATTATTATTACTGTGATTATTCTGGTCTCAGGTAAGATGTTGTCTTTCTTGACTCCCCAGGCTCAGGCCGGTGCCTCCTCTGGACTTCACAGTCCCCTCTGTACCCTCCACATATGTTATCTGTCTCGCCAACACATTGTGGGCTAGGCATAGTTAAGTCAGATTTTTTATACTGTCATCTTTCCACCTTTCTGTACTACCTTTCTTTGCTTTTTATTGAAGAATCATGTACTGTTTCTTTCTGCTGTTTGTTACCTTTCTATGGTAAAATGACAGGATGGATTGTCACCAAAATTGGGAAGGTGTGTTTGGGATTGTCTGACTTGAAAGACAGGCTATGATAGAATGCGGGAGATTCCTTGGGGAGCCCTGCAGAGGAATTGAGAGAGACAGCCAGCCAGCCCCTGGTGCTGCTGAAACTCTGACAGAAGCAGCCTGGGTTACAGCATGGGCGGGTGGGTGGCCAGAAAAGATGGTGGGGATGGGGAAAGAGATTGCAGCCTCTATTCTGAGTGCTCGCTGGAGGGAGAATCACAGGGCAGGCACTCCAAAACCCGGAAGCCAGATCCACTGATTTTCACGGGCAACACCACCCACGCCATCCAGGAGGAGTTGCTGACTGAATGAGCATCACTGAGTCTCCCAAGTTAGGCTGGGGAGCCCAGCTGGTTCTTAATAATGAAATCCTCATCCCTTGCTGGGTACTCACAATCTCATTTAATCCTAACGATTACTCTGAAAGGAAAGGACTGCTGTTCACTTATCACCACGGAGGAAACTGAGGCTCAGAGAGGTGAGGTGACTTGCCCAAGGCCACACAGATAGGAAGCACCATTCAGACCAGGCCTGCCTGATTCCAGGTCCCGATCATTCCCAGGTACCAGAAGCCTCACCCCCACTTCCTTCCACTGCCTTACAACCAGCAGGGGCTCAATAAATGGTTGCTGAACTAAATTGAAATTCCCAACTGCCACCACACTGAGATGTGATAAAGGACTCTTCTTTCTTTTCAGAACACATCAGAATCTGTGGTGGGGCTCCTGTTCCTCCAGTGCCCCGGAACACCATGGATGCTTGAGAAATATTTATGCTGGTGACAAGGATATTTTTTATCCTTAAAATAGGTTATTTACAATGTATCTGGCTAATTGGGCCCACACTGTTCTAATGGGTTAAGACCAGATGTATCTGGGTGATTAGAAAAAAATTTAGCATGTGTATAGTCTGTTTTACCCCTTTTTAGAATTTCCCCACTCCTGAGTCACCTCACAGCATCCCTGGTGATTCAGGATACCTGCTGCTGCCATGGCAGAAGCCCAGGTGAATGGAGATGACACTTGGACAAGCAGTGACACACAGATCTGGACTTCTAGGCTTGGCCACTTCTGACCATCTCAAGTGGCTGCTGAAGGAGGGCTGCAGGGTTGTCCTAAGGAAAAGGAAGGGCCATTCTGTGTGGTGGTCAGGATTCCCTGGCTGGTGCCCCTAGCCGTGGATGCAGGTGGGATGGAGATGATATGGCATCCTTGTTGACTGCAAACCTCCCTGGGATGGGAACGTATGTTGCTTGAGCACCTACTGAGTGTCAGGGCTGTGTTGGGCACTTCACATGCACTATCTCATACAGCGCTCACAAGAGGACTAGAGAGTAGGAATTACTAGCCAGATTTTACACACGGGGAAAGGGAGACTTAGAGGCATGAAGCCACTTGCCAAAGGTCACACAGTGGGCGTCCAATGCAGGAATCAAACCCATGCCTATCCCAGACTGAGCCAGGCTTCCACCCTCCCAGCAAACCCTTTGAGAGCTCCTGATCTGATCAGCTCAGGCACCCTTCTCGCTCCAGACTCTAGTCTACTACTGCTCACTTCATTTTCAGGCGTTGTCTAAGACACAGCGTCTGTTCACAGATAACTTTAAAGTCAGACTGCCAGCGTTCAAAACCCAGCTCCTCTCGACATTTGCTGTGTGACGTCGGGGACCTTAGTCCATCTCCTCGAGTCTCAGTTTACCCACCTGCAAAATGGTGATTGTGCTAAGATCTGCATCCTAGAGGCAGTGCACATGGAATAGAATCAGATTTGAAAGGCCCTAGCACAGAGCCTTGGATACGGGAGGTGCTCGATAAATGTTGGTGCCTGTTACGATTAATCCTAATGTTGGCCCCCAGCTTCTCTGAGATGCCCCACTTGCTCCATCATTTTAGTCAGAGCTTCCTTCCAGCACCGCATTTGATACCCAGGCTGTTTCAGCAGCAGAGGTCTCCCTCCACCCACCATGGACGGATTCCCCACTTGAAGCTCCTCAGTTACTTCATGGGAAAGGAGAAGAATAAAAATTAAAAACAAAAGCCCTCGATTAGCTCAGGTTTTCCAGTGATTGATGGTTGCCTTCACATTGGGGGATAAAGGCACACCAAGTCACGGACCACCGGTAACAGGGGCCGGTTCCACTGGAACTGTCACACATGTGGGCCGGGCAGGGCATGGGCTGGCCACTCTTCGCTCCATCTTCCTGTCCAGAGGAGGAACTGGGGACTGATTAATAGCTTAACTGTACTTAATTCTCCATGGAATCATTAAACAGTCTCTGTTTCATTAAACAGATCCAGGACAATTCACCTTGTGTAATCATATCACATAAAACTTTGCTTTGGACACACTCCAGGGAGATTGTAAAATTAACGTTACGGAACCAAAAGTCAAGGTGGGGGGTACTGTAGGAGCTTTGACTCAACTATAACTGGGAGTAAAAAATGGCCAGGATGGGGTGACCTCTGCTCTGAGGTGGGTGATCCTCATGTTCTAGGCCCAGGGCTTCCTAAAGAAGCAATTCTCAGATTCAAGTGCACACAAAGCTTCAGAGGGAATCTTGTGAAAAGGCAGATTCTGATCAGTAAAGCCTGTGGGTGGGGGATGGGGGCCTAAGGTTTGCTTTTCTAAAAATCTCCCAGGTAAAGTCAGTGCTGCTGGTCCACAGGTCACACTTGGAACATAGAGGATTTAAAGGAGTGATTCTGCGACGGAGGCTGGGGGTGCATCAGAAACACCTGGAGGGATTGCCAGTCCCCCTCCAGGAGTTTCCGAGTCATAAGGTCCGGGGTGGGGCCTGAGAATTTGCATTTCTAACTAGTTCCCAAGTGATATTGACATTGCTGGTGCAGGAGCCCTAAAGTACCAGCAAACTTAAGTGCTTACAGGAGCCAGATGTTAACACAAATGAGAGAAATGGGCTGAGGGGCGACTGTGGGGCTTGGGTTCTTTGGGGAAGGCTCTCACAGAGCACCTGAAGACCTGGGTTGGGCCTGGGAGGGGGCACTGGGATAGGCCTCCCATTCCAGAATAATGTGGGGACCCCCACTATGAAATGTGTATGCCGGAACCCTCTCTTTCTCCCACCCCCTGCAGCCTCTTGGCTCAGCCGTCCTGATGCCTCCCTTATCTTTGGTTTTAAAGCTCCCAGTTGTCTTGAGTAAAGAAAAAGAGGCAAGGCAGCTCCTGGGAGTTAACACTGTCTGAACCTGAGACAAGGGGCTATGCCGGGAGGGGAGAACCTCCAAATGCATCAGGGGGTCAGCAACACCCCTGGGAAGGAGAGAGTAGCCAATGCCTGGGTGTGAATCCCAGTTCCATCAACACCTGGGTCCTCAGTCACGTGACTCGCTCCCTTGCTGGGATGGTTTTCTCACCCGTGAAATGGAATGTTAGGATGATTATGGTCACTTTCCTTACCTCTTTGGTAATTAGAAGGTTTAAATGAGATAATGAAAGCCAAGTGCCTGGTTTCCCATGAGCTTCCTAAGTGAGTCCCCTCCTTTTTCACTTGGGGCAGCAGAATGGCTGGGAAGTGAAGAGCTGGGTTCTAGTCCTGCCACTATGTGTCCAAGTGACCTTGGCAAGTGCCAGCCTCTTTCTGGGCCTCAGTTTCTCCATTAATAAACAGAGGATGAATCAGTGGCTCTCGGTCCTGCCTGTACACTGGAAGCAGCTGGGAGCTTTGAAAAATACAGATGCCCAGGCTCCGCTCCAGTAATGGTCCAGGGTGTAGCTTGGGCACTGGGATTTTCCCATACTGCTCTGACGGTTCTGCTGTGCAGCTGGGGCTGAGAACCACTGGGTTCAGTGATCTTCCAGGTTCTTTCCAACTTGACAAGCAGAGTCTCTGCTCAGGGGACCAGCTCCTGCCATTTGCATCTGCAGACTTCTCAGCTTGGCCCTGACCAGTGCTCACTGCCAATTGTTCTACAAATAAATAATTCAGAGGCTTCTTCACTCCTGGGAACAAGAGAACAAATGATGCCACCACCTGTCCAAGCTTCCACCCCCTCAGAGAGGGGGAGCCAGGCAGTGGAGAGACAGATGAGGCCCCTTGAGTGAAAGGAACCCAGGGCACAGTTGGTCAGGCAGGCCCAAGAGTTTTAATCAATGACATCAATGTTTAGGGTGTGATTGGCGAATCACTGAGTTAACATCATCTTGCCATGCTCAGGTCCTCTTTCGGGGGTCGGGGGGTGGCTGGGGCTTCGGAGCAGATGGAAGCCAAGGGGAGGGTTTGGAGGAGCAAGAAGCACCTCTGGGCTTGAGGATGGAACAGCTTGGCTTCTGGAGGCTGGATGAAGTGACGGTGGGGGCGGGGCTCACATTTACAGAGCATCTGCTGGGAGTCAGAGGCTCTGGGATGGGTGATTTATAACCACTGATATTTCATCTGGCCTGTCATCATAGGTTAGCACAGTGGTTAAGGGCGTCAGCTCTGGAGCAGGATTCCCTGGGTTCAAACCCCAGGTCCACCATTTCCTAGTAAAAGTTCCTTTACCTCCCTGGACTTAGCCTCTCCCAAAATGGGTTAATTGTGGGGATATCCCTGGGTGTGATTCTCTGATGATGGTAATTGACATGGGCTTTCGAGATCCTGGGCAGTTAAAGGTGTACCCAAGATGCCAGAACCTGGGTCAGAAAGTTCTCACCACTACTCTGGGCTGCCACCTCACCTTAAGACACAGTAATTACCTGCTAATAAGTGTCAGAAACCTCAGACCATTTTAATGAAGTTCGGTGCTCAGGGGCTGTCACTGTCACTTCCTAGCTGTGTGACCTGGGGCAAGTTACTTACCCTCTCTGAGCCTTCCAACCCAGCCCAGAGTTGTTGAGAATTTCATTAAAATAATGCTCTGTAAGTGATCTCTTGGCCTCGGCTGGATTCAGGTCTCCTGACTCCCAGGAAAGGGCTCTTGAACTTGCTACAATCAACCCCATATGAGGGTCTCCATTTCCATGAGTACCATCTACAGCCTTTAAAGGGTTAAATTTTTAGAGTGCTCTCCCCCCCTCCATTATCATCCCCTATTTTATAGATGTGACAAGCTAAGTCCCAGGTAGTCTTGCTCTCAGGGCCCATGTCCTTCACTACTATGTTATCATAAAAGCCCAGCTAACAAAGGCTGATGCTTGAGGGTGTGGTGGGACGTGGGAAGTGCACCTCCCAGGCTATATAAGCTGAGGAAGTGGAATCTCAACCTCACACACATGCCTGCCAGGATGCATCCTGGATTCCGAGACAGCACTGGCTCAGTGCACTGTCCCCTGCCCCCCAAGGCCCTGTGCCTCCCCTCTCAAGTAGTACCTTTGCCCTTCCAGTGGGCATGTGCAGCAAAGCCGATGTGGCCACCGTACTTGCGGTTGAACTCCGCCATGAGAGCCTTGTAGGGGTTACGAATGAGCAGGATGGCGGCATCAAAGGCCTCGATCTCCTTCTGGCCGCTCTCGTGTGTCTTGATGCAGATGGTCCTCCCGCTGCGCCAGTGGTCCCGCTCACCTTTAAACCCTTCCCACAGTCAGAGGGTGGGGGACATGGCAGGTGAATTGGGGAAGGCAAAAAGTCCACCCCACCCCGTTCCGAGCCACCTCAGGAGTCCTCATATGTTCGCTTACTCATTAATTCTTTCGTTTACTCGCATATTTATTGAGCGCCTCTTATGTGCCAGGCATTGTGCTGAGAGCTGGGGATAAAATGATTTGCAAAAAGGTCCATGGGTCTTACTGTTTTTGAGAGCCAGATTATTCAAATAGTGACACAAATGAATGTAAAGTCACTGCCCTGGTCAGTGCTTTGGAGAGAAGTATTCATACTTGGGCGCTGTGAGAGAGGCCTCACAGTGATGTGTCGGATGATGGACAATTGATTCCTCTTTAGGTGAAGTCTATAACCCCACCCCACTGATGTTGGGCATGGCCATATGACGTGCTGAGGCCAGTGGAATGAGGGTGGAGGTGGGTCTCTGCCAACGTCTCAAGGTGCATCACATGTTTCTCTTTATTATTGTGTGCTTTCGCAATCACTGTGAGAACATGTCCTGGAGGGCTGTTGGTCCCAGATGGTGAGAAACACATGGAACAGATGTGGGTCTGACCTGCAGCCTGGAGCTGAGCAGCCCAGCTAGCCTAACCTAGATCACTGACCTAGGCAGGCGGCATCCAGAAAGGTGTTCTGGGGGGAAGAAATGCTTAGCTGAGGAGGACTTTACTAACCCCAAAGAGAAGGGAATGGTGGAGGGAACAGCAGGTGAAAAGATCCTACGGTCCGTGGGAAGAGATGGGTGACAGAGGAGTGACTGCTAAGTGAGAGCAGAGAGCAAGGGGGGAGTGTGAGGCTGGAGGGAGTTATGGGGGATGTGATGAGGAATTCAGTCCTAGACCAGAAAAAATGGGCAGCCCCTAAAATGATTTAAGCAAAAAGAAGAAGGGACATGATTCAGTTTTCATTTCAAAAGCCGAGTAACTGCAAGTTCTGAATAGCTGGAGAATGGGGAAAGCTCCTATGGCACCGACCCTGTGCTGAACCCTTTACATATATTAGGCAACTTCAATTTTAAAGATAAGGAAACTGAGGCATAGAGAGATCAACTAACTTGCTCAAGTTACAGAACTAGTGAGAGTCAGAGACGAGATTCAAACCCAAGCTATATAGATGACCAAGACTGTGTTCTTCACCATCCGAGCTTTCTAGTCTCAAGAAAGCTAAGGCATTTGGATAGTATCTTGAAAGGCAAGGAGAAATATTATTGTACTAGTTCTTCAAGATACTGGCTGTGTTCTTAATGAGTAATCCTGGACATCATGTCATCTCTTTGGGCCTCAGTTTCCTCATTTGTATAATGGAACCATGCGGCTTTCCTTCACAGGGCTGGTGTGAGAAATCAATGAGACATGTAGTAAGGTTTCAATAAATGGCAGCTAGTGCAGAACAAGTCGCAGGGGAAAACCCTGCTTCATCAATCCTAGAGTAATTTCTTCCCTACCCACTCACAACAGTTCTAAGGCTTTGTGCTCTGGCTTTTAAGGTGGATTAAGGTGAGGCTAGCATGGTACCTACTCCTGTTCCTGAAGATCTGGGTTCGGAGAGGTGCAGCCCCCCTTACAGGGCCACAGGGCAGAAGAGCCAGGAATGGAATCTGTTTCCTGAGTCAGATGGCATCCTGGGAATTGCCAAGCCAAGTTGCAGGGATGAGCCTAGCCTTGAAAATTAACACTGGCCCATATTCATGAGAAAATGTTAACCCACCGTCTTTGAGGACCATGGGAAGCACAGCATCATGGGAAAAATTGCTTCCTGAGGGCAATGAGGAATGTGGTACGGCAGCTTGAGCGAGAGCTTGGGACACAGACATTTACCCACAAGGTGGCACTGGATACAATTTCATGTCATGCTGTCATGCATTTCACTGGTAGAGCTCTTCATGACATGGACAAAGGACTTCCCATTTATTATTTCATTTTACCTTCACCAAAATCCATTTAACCATGAGCACAGCAATGGAAAAACACAAGAAGGAGGTACACAGGAATCTACCAGATTCTCAGAGAAGAAAAATCGTCAGATACACGGCAGAATGGTCAAACTCGTGTAAATCAGCTCCATGCATTGTGAGAATCACACTTCTCTTTGTTCCACGGTGGAGTCAACCTAGCACAGTATTTATCAAGATAAAAAAAGAAAAACTAGGAATATTGGAAAAAATTTGCTCCAGATTCTAGATTTTGGTTGCCTGGGGCTTAGTCTATACAGAGTATTGGAAATGTAGGGAGGTAAGAAAAATTCCACTTAGCAGAATGTCTCCCAGGGAGAGGAGAGTTTTATGTCCACAAAGCAGGCTTTGAGAAGCTACATTAAACAAGCTTGCCTGAGGAACAACAGATGGTTGCTCAGCTGTCCCCTAAGAAGGTCCTTCTAGAGGGGATCAGGGATGCACAGAAGAATCTGGGATGCAAGCTTGGGGCCAGGGCAGAATTGTTGAACTCCATTTCCAGGCCTCCCTTCCCTATTTTTCTCTTACACAGGACCCAGCACCTCCTGTACATAAATGTGAAATATTTAAATCATTACTTTGAAGGGTCACAAGAAAGCAGCTTGTCTGGGGCACCCACATGACCTTCAAACTTTAGGGGCTGGACAATTGTCCTAGAATTTGGAGGAATGACCTTGTGGTTTCAGACCACAGAAAGAACAAGATAGATTTTCTCCTTCTCTTCCTCCCATCTCCCAATATTATAGTTGCCTATATGCATTTTGCCATTAGGCAAACTGAGGCACAGAGAAGGGCAGTGGCAGAGACTCCACATTTTTGCAGGGCCTGGTGTTTACTGGGGTAGGAGAGGCCCACTCCTGGCTCTGGACATGGACATCCCAGAGACTGAGAGTCTTCTAGAAATAATAGAGTTTGTTTTGAGGTAGTCCTTAGGAATTCTTGTCCTGTGTCAGCTGGACTGAGAGGCTGCCTCATCAATCTCCTGCCCCATCTGTGGGCCTCCAGGGGTGGAGAAGGGCTCTCCCTAACTCTGGGCTGTTATCCCAGTCACTTCTTCCTCAGAGATCTAGGCTCTGAGACCTGACAGGCCACAGAGCTAGAGCCTGTACTCAGGGCTGAGGGGTCCCCAAGATGGGGAGGGGGACAGAGAAGGGAGATAAAGCCTAGGGAGAGAGAAGAGACCAGAAACAGAAAGATGTCTGGAGAGAGGGATGGTTGAGACAAAGGAAGGGAGTAGAAGGGGAGAGAGAAACAGACACACACAGAAACAAAATAAGGAGAGAACGACAGAGACACAGGACTGAGAAATAGAGGGAGACAGAGATACATATGAGACAGAGAGACACACGGAAAGGCAGAGGTAGAGAGAGAAAGATCAAGAGAGAGAGAGACAGGTAGACAGATGGACAGAAAGAGACAGATGAGTGGATGGACAGTCACAGAGAAAACCATGCTTTGCAAATAGCCCACCTCCCTGGGTCAGGGGAAGAGAAGGCAGAACTCAAATGGGACAGACACTTGGATTCTGGGAGGGAAGGGTTCTTCCCTCCCTCTCTCCCTCCCTTCCTTCCCCTTCCTCAACAGCCCTTGGGTGGGTTGGGTCTTTTGCCAGGATGAAGGAAGAAAAGGTTACAGAGAAAATGGAGGGAGATGAGAATGTCAGGCAGCCCTGCAGACCTAGGAGGGCCCCGCGGCGGGGGGCACCCACAAGACACATGCTTGTTGCAGAGGAGGAAACTGAGGTCTCAAGTAGAGGGAGGTATGTGTCTCCAGTTCTCTACCTAGTTAGCAGAGATTAGGGAAGAAACTCTAAAGGGCTTAAATAAATCAGCGAGAGTCACTCGAGCATCAGCTGATATAGAAACCACCCCACTCTGGGCCCATCACTGAGGCCCCCTCACTTCTAATTAATGACCTCCTAAATGCTCTTCGCCACTGTCCCCTTCTCCCCATCATTGTTGCTCCCTGGGGTGACCCTGCAGGCTAGATGTCCCCCATGCAACCTCTGTGGCCAGAGGGGTATTTCACACCACTTCTCTGCCTAAAATGCTCTATACCCCACTCCCCTCACCTCCACTCACCCATCGCCCCCAGGACAATGTGCGCAGCTCTCAGAAGGGCATTCCAGGGGCTTTGTTGTGTCCAGTCCTGGCTGCCCCTCCTGCCCCATGCCCCAGCCCCCATCCCCTTCACTGCCCAACACCATCAAACTATTTTCATTCACCATCACGCTGTGTCACTATCCTCTCCTACTTGTCTAGTCTCTGCCCACACCACGGCCTCTGCCAGAGACTCTCTTGTCCTTCTGGGTAAGTCCTGCCCACCTTCTGCACCCCTCCTCCCCCGCCCCCCGCCCCACCACCTAAGACTGAGTTACAAAATATACAAATCGCCTGTCACAGTGCTGGACCCATCGTGGATATTCAATCCATGCCCACAATTATTAGTATTATTAACAGTGACATGAATACATGAATAATAATAAGGGCCATGATAAAGAAGTACCCCAGGTACAAGGGAGATAAAGGAGAAGGATACCAAAATCTGCAAGAGACATTGCAAAGGGGGATGTGACCTGTGGCTGGAGAAGCAGGTTTCCAGGCAGGTGAGTATGGGTTCAGGGTGGGGACAGGACTGATGTCCCAGGGAGAGGAGACAGCAGGTGTCAATGTCTGGTGCGTTTTCCAACTACAAATGGCTCTTATGCCTGGAGTCTGATGCAGGAAAGGGGCAGCAAACTGCCACCCAGTGAGGGCAAATCGAGGACAGCAGTTACCCCTCCCTCTGACACCATGATCCCCTCTCCCCCATGTTCCAGGACCCACCAGGGTTTGAGGATTTCATTAAGTTAAGTATGTCTCAGCTGCAAAGGTGAGGGTGGAGGGACTTGAGGCTTAGCCAGATTGACTGATGCTACTGGGAGGCAGGAACCCCCTCTTTGCCTATACCCCATTGCCAGCCCCAAACTTCCAGGGAGAGCTCACTCTCTCCTGCAAGGGCTCAGGCCAGAGGAAGCATTTTTAAGCCCCTAGTCAAAAGGCAGCCACATTCAAAGCCCACAAACCCCTGCCTTTCTCTGTGGCACTTAAGGAAACATTACACAGCTTGAGCCAGAGGGATTGCTAGGGAGGGTTGATGCTTTCTCTTTCTCTCTATCTCTCTCTCTCTCTCTCTCTCCTCTCTCTCCCTCCACCCCATCCCCCTGCTTTCTTCAGGGGTTGTCTTATTTCTCAAGTAGTTCATAGAATTGAGGTGGCAAGATGTTTGTTAAGAGCTACACAATTATATCTTTGTTGCTTCCAAGTTCAGCATACAAGGAACATAAAAGAAAGGCTATTTCTTCTCTTTGAGCTTAACTCCCTTTGGCTTAAATTCAGCCCCATATCCATCCTTAAATGAATTATTGTGGTAGGGACAGTAGAGTGTTGACATAAGCCCCAATAAAGTGCCTATCACGACAAGCTAGTAGTAGGTCAAGATCACACAAGCAACATGGACAGAAAATGAAGGAGAGTTAATATACCTAAGGAAAATAAAGATTTCATCGCAAGAATGGGAAATGGATGTCAGGCCTTAAAACAAACAAACAAAAAAATGTTTATTTAAAAATGCATATACAGACTCATCTGGCTAAAACTTAAACTTCAAAGTTCATCCAAGGCAAACTTAGTTGGAATTTCTTC